AAGCTTTTATGCATATTTTAGGGTTTTGAATATAAATATAATGCATAAAGTCATGGTTATATACATTGAGTTAATTTGTTTCCAGATATTTGTATTTGCTGTAACATGTTTGTATGCAAGATTCATGAAGTTTTTACCATGTTTGAATCACAAAAACATGACGTGAACACGTCACACACAAAAATCTAGAAAAAACTAGATTTTGGGCTCACAGTCGACCGCCACGGTCGACCGCGTCCAGGGCAGAGACCTGGGTAGTCTCTGGAGCCCATCACGATCGACCGCCACGGTCGACCGCCAGTCTGATGTTGGCATGTGCATGGTTTTGGTTTGATTTTGGTTTGTCGAACGTTTCTCTCGGGCCCCCCGCCAGTCTGATGTTGGCATGTGCATGGTTTTGGTTTGATTTTGGTTTGTCGAACGTTTCTCTCGACCTTGTACATGATGATTAACTACAATGTTAAAACTTGTTAAATACCTGGGATGATGGTGAACTTCAGATGTGGACTCGTACACTGAGATATGTACACTTAGGCTTGGTTTGTGTTGAATTAACACACTTTTGTCACAAGTTAAAATTTATAAATACACATGACTAGTATTTGATCTTTCACGTATCCGGAAATAGAGAGATGAAACCTATTACCGTAGAACGATTGAGTAAGAGTATTACAATAGTATCGTTATTACATATATCCGGAATAGGTAGACAATAAATCCTATTGCCGCAGAGCGATTGAGTAAAAGCATTACAAGAGTATCGCTATAGCACAAGATGATGCACACATAGATATTTGATCAGTTGTAAATTTTACTTCCATGATAGATTACCCGTGAGTAGGGTATCTTTTTTTTGAGATTTTTGGCACACCCGTTACAGGCGGCGGTTATATTCGAGTTGGTTTGGTTGGCATCCTCTTATATTAGAGCAGGCTACTCGGATGTAGTTCGAGATGAAATATTTATTCTTTATGTTGGAGATTGGAATATGTTTCATTAACTATTTGTTTTTAGAGAGCTATATGAATGGTTTGATATATGTATGTACTGACTCTATTTTCTTATATACTCCTACCCCTTCTCCTGGGGAGAGGTAGTGATGATCTCGCTAGCGCTTTGACGCTCTTTGTTTCCCCTCTTTCAAGCAGCGAGTCCAGCGCACGGAGAGTCGGAGGTTGATGGGACTTCCTAGTTGTCCATTTAGCTACTTATTATACTTTGTAGTTATTGCAGAACTCCACATGTAGTTGATTATTTTTTTAGCTACTTATTATACTTTGTAGTTATTGCAGAACTCCACATGTAGTTGATTATTTTCAGACTCTAGATTGGTATTTGCAGAACTCCACATGTAGTTGATTATTTTCAGACTCTAGATTGGTATTTTAGTTTAGAGTTGAGAGCTCTTGTGAGACTTTGTTTATTTGACTCATTGTATTTGAGATCCAGTTTATATTCAGATATATTTCTATTCTATTTCAGTTTGGCTCATTATTGATATTTCTTATGCTTCTTCTGTGTATATCCAGTGTTGCCTATTTCTATTTTGTCTGTCTGTACCTTCACCTATTTATTGTTTCCACTAGAAAGATAGTGATTGTGATGATGAAATATGTCGTAGCATGGTGGTTGGTGCTTGGCAAGTTTGACAATCCGGGTTTCATCTGTGACTGCAGCCTTGTATGAACCCTAGGGCGTCACACTATTCTTCGATGTTATGACAATTTTACCCATTGTAGTTAATAGGAAAGAGGAAAATCGCGGGCCTGGATTGCGGCTTCTCCTTTTCATCATTTGGTAGCATTAAATGCCAATTAGAAAGATACTTTGGAGGGGGGAAATTCGAAGTTCCTTCCAAATTAACTCGTGCCTAAAAGTCAAAACAACCATCTTCTAATTGGCATTTAATTCTTTCGCTAAAGACTCTTTATTTCTTCACCTACTTTCCGTAACCATATCCTTAGATTTGAGCTCTAAATTAGGGGCAAAAAATCTCTCTTATCAGCTCAAATGAATGAGCTCAACTATCTGCCACATAGTAAGTCACATTAGCATCACATGACAAGTCATGTGATGTTTAGTCACCAAAAATTTTGTTCGAGCCAAAAAAATAGATATTGTTGTCACCGTCTTTCAATTTATATCCATTATCATCACCATAGTAAGAAAATAAATCAAACTGTTACTTGGATGGGTTTGGATAGCTTTTTTTAAAAGAGATGTGGGGAAGAGTTGGGGAGGTTAAAATGCTAATCATCCTAAAATTATGTGTGTGTTTATATTTTTAGTAAGTGAGGAATGATTATAAGAGGGATAAAAAGAAGTAAATTTCCTAACATTTTTAACCCTCCTAATAAAGTGGACGGAAAGGAGAGGTTGGATTTTAAGTGAATTGTTCTATTCCTTTCTAAGTTCTAAGTTCTACTCTAAACAAACACAAATTAATTCCATCACTCTCCCTCACTCTCCATTCCCTTGTTGTCTATTCAAACCCCATTAGTTGCATCACTCTCGATTTCTCTACTTTCCTTCCCTCTTGAGTTTAGCTCAATCACACCCCTCTCCTATTCTCTTCTCTATCCAAACCGATCATAGTATGGTCAACAAAATATATCAATATATAGTAATTCAGTCTTTTGCTCTGAAATAATTGGATGTTTATTTTATTGAGTAGACTTTGCTGGCTAATGTCAACTTAGTGTGAACATTGAAGCCAATGCGTCAAGGTTGAATTATGATTTAATGGTTGTGGAATATTGATAACAATGAATATTGGTTCTCGAAAGATGGCGTCATTGTTGAGTGAACCGATATGGGCAATTGGCATGCAATTTAAAAATCAGGCGTGGAGTTAAGGCATGACATACTATGAGTTGTGATGTGATATCTCCTAAGATGATGATTTGTGGTCAACTTTGATGTGTTAAAACTTAAAATTGGATAAAATGCTTAAGATTTAAAAAAGCTGCTGTCTGCTTAAATATGCTGGTCTCGGTGTAGCATGATCCGCCATTTTACTCAAAAGAACAAATTTGCATATGTATAAAGTCTACTTAAGAACTTTACAATTATTCTGTTCATAATAAATGTAAATGAAATGCTATTTAGGTGTAAGCAGTCAGGGGTACCGCGTACTATCTCGAAGAAATTTACATTGGCTAAAGGACACCTAATACTCCATTGTTTCACAACCATTATACTTAAATATTTGAAGTTGTAAAAAATAAAACTTAAATATTCTAAGTCGTAAAAGATTAGCACATTAGTACCATTTAATAATTTTCATGGGAATATTCTTAAGAAATTGTGAAAACTAACAAAATGTATTAAAATGCTATTTTCTTATAAGTTAGGTTATTAAAGTACTAATTCCTTGCCACTTAGGGTATTAAGATGCTTTTTTTTACAACTTGAAAATTTTAAGTGTGAATGTGGTGAAACAATAGGGAATTTAAGTGTTAGTTTTTTACAACTTAGGATATTAAAGTGCTATTTTATTATAATTTAGGGTATCAAAGTGTTATTTTTTATAACTTACGGTATTTGAGTATAAATGTGATGAAACAATAGAGTATTTAAGTGTCATTTAACCAATTACATTACATGTTTGACTTGGGGAACCTTATGCAGTTTTTAAGTAGCGTCTGTGAAAATAAGGAGGAGCAATTCAACAAAGGCTTATTTTTACCTTGACATTTACAATTTTACCCATTTTGCACTTTGATGCACCAAAATAATTTTTAGCACCTTGATATGTCCAAACTTCATTCCCATTTCTGTTTGAAACCCCCCAAGGTATTTTTTAGTAACACTTCAATACCTTAAAGTTTTAATCATGTTTTTTTCTTTGATGATACATCTGTTTCAATGGCATTATATTTTCTATAAGAATTGTATCATGTTCTTAACAACTGGGTAAAATGAATCGTAGTCGCTTGCTAAGAATGTGATATAAATTTAACAGGAAATATGGACAATGTGTCTAAAAGAAATGTGATTGAAAAAATCCAAGTGTTAAATAAATAATTGGGGTATCAAAGTGTTAAAGAAATAATTGGGGTATCAAAGTGTTTCAATCTAAGTGTTAAAGAAATAACTGGGGTATCAAAGTGAAACTGCATTGAAGTTTGGAGTATGAGAGTAAATATTTTGGGATGTCAAAGTAAAGAAATGGGTAAGGTTTGAGGTACCAAAGTAAAACTTAAGCCTTTGAACAGAATTTCTAAGGATAATGCTAACACCTAGAACTTTAGGCTTGATAATCATCAATGTTTTGTACTTAAATAGGACAAATATGTACTCAACTCTCTAAAATGGGTAGCCATTCAAAAACTTGATTATTGAAGAACAATGATCACAAGACAGTACAATCATCATTGATTTCTAAACAAATTTTGATATCCAACACATCACTAGATTCATTACTTCTTTATTGTTTATAGACCAAACAAAAGAAACTCAAGAAGGAAACGGACCATATGAAAAGGAATTTGGATCCTCTCCGCTAAAAAATGTGGTGACAAGTTCCACAGGTAGCAGCTGTAGTCATTACAAATGCATGAAGGATTTGGTAACTTAAACAAGCAACCAAAGTATAAGATTCATTAGATCATATTCCCACGTCACTAAAATCAACTTCATCCTCGTTCGATAGACATCTAAACGTTCATATGAACAGAAGCGTAGCTAACGTGATACTCAATTGAAATTCACAATGGCGTATCGATAACCATTCATTAACCCAGAAAGTGCATTTGATGCGTTACTCCGTGACTCAGCCCACACACCAGGTTAGCTTGCCGCCAAACCAAAATAAAATTAAGACAAACTCTTTATTAATCTAAACCGACAAAGAATCTCAAGTTTTAGCCACCAAACTTCCAATTTTGTATGTTACCCAACGTATTAGTTTGTATTCTGAACTCATCGAAAGTCAGGTAACCTTGCAGATAAGTACGTATAACATGCCAATTATGTGACGACATCCTGAAAACCTAATCTAACCTTGAAAAAACTAATCATAAATACTGCAACAATAAGTTAAACAAATATTTCGCTTAGGGCAATCAAAGCAACAAGCGTACCCTCTGAATTATTAGGTGTTACAGTTTCTCGGGTGTGCTATTCTAGTAAAACAATCAGAAGCTCATCATACTAGAAACCACAGGAATTAGAATTATTCTCTCCTCCAAATGACTTTCATCTTGCAAGGATCAAACAAATTCATAAGTATTCCTCAAAGTTGATGTTCTATAATACGCACACAAATTTACATAAAGCAGGGGAACATGACATGCCCCAAACGAGAGGGAAAAAACCCACCTTTTTAAAGCACATTAATTTGCATCTGCAACTCAAAAGAGTCTCCAGAAAAGACCATTTGCGTATGGGCATTACGCACATTAAGCAAGTATTTGCCTTTTTCACGCCCTCGCACCAAGAAAAGACTGCCAACAAAAGAAAAAAAAAGAAAGCATCAAGGTTGTAAAATGCAGCCGCACAAAGTTACAGTAGGCAAGTCGGGCAATAGGGTTGACGATTAAAAACTAATATTAAGATCTAAACAACAATTATAGACCGATTACACTAGAAAGAAGGCCAGGTTGAAGAAATAATCATAATAATCAACCAGGCATCACTAAATTCCAAAGAACTTCTCGGATTACATGCCAGTGCTTTAGCAAGAAACAAAAGGATAAAATTCACTTGCAGAGTTGAGAAAAATAGATTAAGGGGCTCTAAACATCTGAGATTGTCAATCACTCTCCAACATTCAGGTGATGATTGATGAATATTTAGAGTAAGCTAGAGCTTCAACCTCCAAATTTTGCACAAGGACAGAAATAAATTCTGCCCGAGTGCGTTCAAGTGTGCAATAGAGGGTTAAGACTTCACATGTGAGACTGCCAAATAGGTCCCCAAATGTGATGCATAACAAAGATGGTTAAGGGTATTGTACAGTAAAAGATAGTTTAAAGATAGTTCCACTATTTAACTTCAAAATATGATCCTAGATCACATAAAGTTATATATGAACTTAGAAGATTGACTTGTTGAATCTTTTTCTGAAAATAATGACAATAGGAATCAGAGATGGGATAGTTAAGGGCAATATTCAATAAGGTCATTCTATATATTTTTTATTGACAGGGGGTTGAGATGTCCATATGAAGATATTTGGTTAGTTCCAGTGCCTCTGACAGTAGAACTCTTTGTTTCATTAGCAGTTAGGAAAAAACTAAATACCAAATAAGTTTTGCTATAGAAACATATACAGATTGAGAGAATATCCTTTCTATGTAGGGTGGAGGAGAAATTATTGTATGTAGGGTGGAGGAGAAAGCCATGCTCACCTGTTCTTATGTTGTGGCTCTGTGAGGTCTTTGTGAAACTCTTATTTGTTTTTTATTTCATATATCTAATTTTGAGATCAGGAACTTATATGATTTGTGGGTTTTGGAGTCAAAATAAAATTTCTGTGGATATGAAATTGAAATGGGATGTTATCCTGTGTGCCCTCTTGTGGTGTGTTTGGTGTGAAAGAAACATGAGAATTTTTCAAGATAAAAGATTACACTCTTCGGAGATATTACATAAAGTTAAATTATTTATACTTCATTTTAGCTAGAGAACCTCAATGATTAGGTCTGCTTTGCAGAGCTCCCTCAACCTTATATGTACAAATCCTTCTAAATCAAGCCTGCTGTTTCGGGAGAGTTTTGCTTGGTGAATAATTCTCCTAAGCTGCAACCCAAGGAAATTATTTTGACAATTCCCCGTTCCACATTGTCGTGCCTAAACTTTAATGGATCCCTCCCTCTCAGCATCGAGTTAGAAGCAACATAGTGCAATAATAATAGTGTTCAATCTATGAGCCCCCGCAATTCTGAACTTCTCCAACTGTTACAACCAAAAAGTATGCACATAGCACTTGACTGCGAACACTATGATAAATTGGTTCATTCTGTTGATACCATTGAAAAATATAGAAAGTTAAACCAAAGACATTGAAACCAAAGACTTTTAACAATTAAGATCGTTGAACGGTAACCTTGAAGCTTTTAGAAGCTAACGCAAAAATAATAATAATAATAAAGAAAGAAAGAAAGAAAAGAAGAAGCAGAAGAAGATAGTAGTAGTCGAACAATGCAACCTTACCCAAATTATAGAATTCAAAGAAAAATATCATTAACCCAACTAAGGAATAGATTATATGAACTGAAAGATGCATTTTAAGTAAGAGATATTCAGACCTTGACTCCTGGCGGCGGAGTCCCAGTTTTAGCTGTAGTTGTACTTGAAAAGCTGAACTTTGCTTTCTTTTCGGCTGGCTTCAAAATTTGAAATGAGCACATCAAGGTCTCATCTACGCTCATCATCGCACCAGCATTGTCAAATTCACCACAGTAATTTGGGGCTGAGAATATCGTTACAAGTTGTCTGTCTGCAAAAAATTCGTATCCATCTTCCACAACCTAACAAGGAAAAGGAAAAGCACAATTGAAGTTGACATAATCAGCTACAAACATGTACACTTATAAGGTAATGGAGAAGATCATCCGTAACCTGGTGAGCACGGCAGATAAGGTCTAAATCATGCTTTTGGAGGAACTCAGACACTTTATCTGACCCAAAGGTATATGAAACTCCCCTATCATTCATACCCCATCCTCGGATGTCTTTACTTGGATCCGACCATAGAAGATCACAAAGTAATCCAGTATCAGGTACATCAGTAGGGCGTGCTAAGTTTCTAATCTGATCCAGATTATTCAAATCTGGAGAAAGACCCCCATGCATGCAAAGTATCTTTTCATCGATCAGAGCTGCCACAGGTAGGCAATTAAAACAATCAGTGAATACCTTCCAGAGCCTCACATTGAATCTTCGCTTGCATTCATCATAGAATCCATAGATACGGTTAATGGATGCACACTCGTGATTCCCTCTCAAGAGAAAGAAGTTTTCTGGATACTTAATTTTATATGCTAGAAGAAGGCATATAGTTTCAAGGCTTTGCTTCCCGCGATCAACATAATCTCCCAGGAAGAGATAATTGGCTGCAGGTGGAAGGCCCCCATACTCAAACAGTCTCAAGAGGTCTGAATACTGACCATGAATATCACCTGAGCAACAAATAGGACAAGTGAGTAACATCTCATTTCATTTTAAATACTAGCTTTAGCAAGGAAAATAGATATCCCTTCGATAAACTTGAAGCATGATTTGATAGAATTGTAACTGGTTGCATTTGAACAAATGACTTCATAACCACACAATAGAGGTTGATGGCCAACAGACATGTATGTGCGTGTGAATATATATGAACAATATCATAAGGAATGCAAGGTCTTATCATTGATATGATTTTAAATGTTTACTCTTCTGAAAATTAAGATAAGAACGAAGGACAAATCATGACCACTAATCAATAAAATTTCTAAAAGGTCAATCAAGGTCAACAAGAAGCAGTAGTCATGTTGGTCACTTTTCATGACAACTTCAAAGAAGTTCATGGCAAGTTCATAAATATGATTACATCTAAGTAGGAACTGAAACTAAAGGGTTCTTATCTACATAAGAAAGTTCCACTTTTCAAAGAAAAATGTACCAGTAGCAACAGTACTAGCATAGAGTAACAAGAAAGATTACTGCCTCTGTTTGACAGAGAAGAACAGCACATTTCACTATTTCAGATTGCAATTAGGGTCAATAAGGAGTGAAGACTAACCTAATGCATTTTGACCTACAGAATTCAAGCTTAAGTTATGTAGAGCAAATACCGCGTGTATTGAAACTATCAATGGTTAGAATAACCAGGTGAACAGAAGACAACATTCAACAACTATATTATTGCATCATTTGATGACCAAGACTGGTTCCTACAGGCATAATAATATAGTTTTCATGTGACTCGTTAATAGGAAATGAGAACAATTCATGCATAGAAAGTCAGAGGTAGAGGTGACACGGAAGTATAAAATTCAAGGTCAGAACAAATAAGAACACACTAGAACCACACATCATTTATAAATAGATGGACATCATTTATTTATTTATTTATTTTATGGAAAGATGGACATCATTTATAGAGGTACAACAATTATTGAATAGTTCTGACCATCAGCGATTTCTGAAAGCCCAATTTTCAAGGCATAACTATACTCTACACAGTAACTATCTGACACAATTTCTAATGCACAATTGCAGTAGTGTGATAATAGTTTACTACCTTGTTTTAATAATAGTATGTCAAAGTGTCAAACAAACACAAGATTGTTTTAGCTAACAGGAAATAGTTCCCACATCCCATTATACAATTGACACATTCAAATGCCTTCGGTGTCACAACTATAAAACTTATCGTCTTAGCTTAAAGGACATATTTACACCACCATAAGGAAATGGAAAAATACAGTAATAAAGGAAAATTACTGCCTCTGTTTGCCAGAGAAAGAGAACAGCATATTTCAGCTTATGAAATATATACACAATGTAGGACAGTTCCAATTTCACTACATAAGATACAGTAGTAAACCACCAGCCCTCCAGAATTGAATTTTTCCTCATTATTTCACCACTTATTACCAAATGCTTTATTGTCAAAAAAAGTCAAATAAAGAAAAACCAATTATATATGCTATGAAACGCAGCGGAGATCATTGCTTCTATGACAATCAAGGAATGGAATTCTCGAAAATAGTTAACCTGGGGATTGATAGAAAGTTACAAGAAAGCTGAATGGAATCCATAATTAAAAAAAATTGAAAGACTAATAGCCATCATCAAGGTGAAATGAAGAGCTAATACAAATATATCCAAAAGATGGAACAACGGTTATTGGTTATCATTGAGTTTACTCAAATCTTCTTTCATGTGTGAAGAAGTCAAGGGTCATTCATAGACATGGCATTTCTAGGTAATAGGACTCCAATTTCTTGTGCAAGAAATCCTTCTACCTAGGCAAGCATGAAAAATCTTTATTTACTGCTGCCTGGAAGATAA